AATATTTAACCGCATAAAATTCACATTATTTTAGGCGCTGTTACAAAAACATATTCAGCCTTTAACTAAAACTACAAAAGATAAAACTATATTTATCCTAATTTTGAGCTTCTATTAATAGTCATAGTAATAATAATAATAATAATAATAATAATAACAAAACAAATAAAGTTAGCTTCGAGGAATTACTATCGATCATTTGGGTCAACAGAACCTCTGAACTGGCGTTTGAATTTCCGGTATGCTATTTGAGCGGCAACATGTGCTTTTATACTAAATTCAATAATAAATAAAATAAATTCAAAATAAGTATCAACGTATGAACTTCTCTCGGATTTAAAGCAATATAAATACAAGAAAAAATTGCTCTAAATATTTAAAAGCAGTTCGAGGTTCTTGAACTCGGGATTATCGTTTTTGCTCCTCGATAGTCTTCATGTACATATTACTGTACGCTCGTATAATACATTTATGCGATTGTCGAGAGTAACGACCTCCTACCTCTTATCCAGGTGAAATAATTTGATATTTTAATTAATCTATTATTGTTTTGCAATAAATTCTTTAAAAATCTTCAAAATTGAGCAGCTGTGATCTAATTTTGATCAATGCATTTAAAGACTTATACTTACTTTAATTTTTATTTAAAAAAAATTTTTTTTGAATCGGGTGTCGGTTTTTTGTACAACAAATTTATTTTTTGATAACTGAAGTAGTTTTAAAAATTTTTCTTTTAATCTTGGATTATATTTTTGACACTTCTTTCCTAAACGTTTTTATGATGATAAATTTAGCAGATATTTTATAATTTTTTTTAACAAATAAATTGTGGCAAAAAAAAAAATAGAAAAAAAATTTACATGTAGAAATTTTAAAAAATAAAAAATGCAATTTTTTAAAAATAATTTTTTGGAGCAAATTTTTTTGTTAAACAAAATTAAAAAATTTTCTCGTGGCTGCTAACTTTAATGTCATAACGTTTTTATTTTTGATAATTCAATGGTAATAATAGCGTTATCTTAAAGAAATTATTTTTAATTTAAGATTTTAAATTTTTATTGTAAGTTCAAAATATTTTTTTTTTTTTCAAATAAACATTTTTTTAAATGAATTGATTTGATTGCTCTGAAAAATAAATGTTCCTTGATCAAAATGTGAAGCAATAAACGATTAACCTCAACGAACCCGTAAGCTGTAAGCTCTCGGTATATGATATAAAACGAAATAATAATAGTAATAAAATAACAATAACAATACCAACAGTTATCGTTACTAACTACTATCTTTAACTAACTACCGGATTGCTTGTAAGAAAGTTAACGCAGTGCAGTAAGTAAATTATTAAACCAGCAACCAGCATCTTCGTTTACTCCAGTTTATAACCACGACACGTATTTGCACCCTACCCGTAAACCCGTACTGTACCCAGATATATAAAGTAGGACTGTGATAGTGAAGAAGGTTCAAGATCTCAAGAACTCCAAAACTTCTTAGCAGAAGTACTGAGCGAGATTAAGATATTGCTTCAAAGACTACAGATTTAACTTTAACTATTCTATTATTTACAATAATAACAATAATTATATTTTAATAAAATTTTATGATTACTATTATTAATTTTAAATTTTAAAAAATTAATTTCATAATAATAAAATCTATTAAACGACAAGTAAAGAGTACATAAAAAATGTAGTCTAGTAAAAAAAAGTGACTTGCTTTCAAAGACCTTTCAATCGTTCCGCTATTCATAACTTTCTATCACATATTTCATTTATTATAAAATATAATCCTCAATCTTTAATCTTCTATTCTTATCTAAAATATAAAGATTTTTTTTAACCGGGCTTAAATTAAATTTAATTACATCACCAAATTACTTAATGCTGATGATATATAATATCAAGTATAAGTTTTTAAATTTATTATCATTTTGGAGCAGATAATTCTTGTCATTAATGCGTTATTATTGAAACTTTTTATTTATTTTCTCAACTTATTCTGTTGGAGTTTAGTACTTGGTTTAGTTCGCTTAAGCTTAAAAAATAAAAATAAAAATAAAACGAGGGAGATCAAACCGGAATAATGGGTTATCTCATCGTGTTTGACATGCGGATCGCTCTATATTTTTATGTTCAAAGAAGATATGTATATACGTATGAGTATTATACGAATGGATGCTGATACCCTGACAAACGCTCTTCTCATTGATTTAATATAACTATGACTATAACTGAACATTAAAACTTTACTCATGTTACTGTTCCGCTTTTCTTTTCTTATCATCCGAAGTTTGCAAATAGTTTTAATTTTATTATTATTATAACTATTAACTATAATTATTTAAAAAAATTTTAAATAAATATTAATAGATATTATTTACATGTTTATTTATTTGTTAAAGAATAATTGAAATCAAATTACCAAGAAGCGCTCAATACTCATAGGCTTCAATTATGATAATTCGAGTCAAAAATTGCGGGTTGCATAAAGTGCCCGATTAAATGACTTCATAAATATTAACATATAAATTATGAATTACATATATATATATATATCTTTCAGTATCCACGTACATATTAATGTTAATGTGTATATTTATGGTGATATTTAATGGACGGTAATAAAAAATTAATGATGTTTAAATTTCACTCTTGGCGAATTATTGCAAGTATGCTAATAAAATTTTATTATGTTATTGGAAATCTATTTTTATTTTATTATCATTATCAATAATAAAAATTGAAATAAATTTATTAATAAATTTATTAATAAATTATCTAAGAATGATTTATAAATTGTTATCATAAATTTGATAAGACTGTAATTCATCAATTTTTAAATTTAATTCAATTTTTATTTTTTTAATAAATTTTATAAAAAAAAAAAATAAAATTAAAATTAATGTTACAATTTTTTATTTTTAAAATAAGAACCTTAAATTAAATTCTCCAATTTCCAGAAAAATTTTTTCTTAAAAATCAGCAGGGGGACTTTAAGTGGTCGTTTTTCGTCCAAGAATAAAATAAAAAAAATCTATGTACTTAATTTAAAAAAACACTCTTGAAATAAAATTTTACTTTGTAAAAAAAAAAAAACTAAAGCGTAAATTTTAGTAAATTCATTAACAATAAATTTAAACAATTTTTCTCTTAACAATTCCATCAATAAAAAATTTTTTTCAATAATTTTAAAAGTAAACTAAGCTCTTCAATCACAAGCAAAGAAATAAAAAAATTGACAGCTGTCACGTGGTCAACTCTCACCCTTAATACCCGAAAAATTTTTCTACTCACCAACATTCGAAAAAATTTTTTTAAAAAAAAGCAAAACTCACCACAGCATCAGCAACAGCAACCCAGGCGGCAAAAAAAGCAAGGATCCAAAAAGCCGGTCTGAAAATCCCAGCCATCTTGTCCTTTCTACTCGTCACTACCCCAAATAAAAACCATAAATAAAAACCCCTAGGTGCCGTTTTTTCGCATGTCTACCGAAAAAATCCGCGAAATCTAAAACTGAGGTGACACTAGCTCTCCCGGAGGCTGGTGCGCCCGAAGACAGTTGTCTCGCTCCCGTGTTAAACACAGAGAAAACCCTCCACTTGTTAAGGTCCCTTCTTTCCTCCTTCTTCTTCTTCTTCTCTTTTCTCCTCTTTGTCTTTTTCTCAGTTAGCTTCGGGCCCGCGAACCTTCTCCTCCTATGCTATCGCACTGTACTACACCAGCAGAATGTGCCCACCATCGCCATCAGCTTGAGCCTACGCGCGTTCTCAGCTTGGTATCCATGTATCCTTGCGCTGGTGTGTCCATATCAGACAAAAACAGCACGAGCGCCGAGAAAGAGAGAGAGACTCCACAGATGTGAGACCGAGCCGAGATTCTTGCTCCACTACAAGCTGATGCTGCCTTTTAAAACGTTATTTTCTTCCAGATGAGCTTCTATTTGCCGGCGTAGCGCTCCAACGAGCTGGTATTGGTGGCAGTAATATCAACGCACGACACAGCCACAGTCGCGGAACACCAAGAAGAGCGGAGCAGTGCGCTAGGTCCCCAGTCATCAGCAAAAGTCGTACCGTGGCTTAATAATTATTAAATCGACTTAGAGTGTGATGGAAGTTGAGTAAGCTTGTTTGTTGGTGAGTCATGATTGGCCGGCTGGGACAACCAGAGCGGGAGAGTAAGCTCTGGACCGGAGAATCTTACTACATTCGTTTCCTACACGCTGGTTGCCCGACTCCGAGATCGAGAGCCGCAGAACAGTCTCGGGATGATGTGCGTTCGGCGAACAAGCGCCAGTGGTAGCTGTGGAAGCTTCGGCGCTGGTGGAACGGTGGAAGAATATCACGAGCCGGAGAAAACTCCTCGGAGTTTTAGTTTGAGCACAAGTAGTGTCGGGTGTTTAGTTTGTCTGCCACTGGCAGGCGTTCAACCATCATTGGGGTCATTTTTCAGCTGCCAAGGAGGAACTCGCCAGGAAACCCGTCAGCCAGCTAGAGATTCCGCTCGTGGGCGGCAGGAACGAGGAAGAGGAAGAAGAATAGGAAGGAAGATACCGATACTTACTGATATTCTTCGGCTGGTGCTGGGAGCGGGGCTGGGTCAGTTTGATGGTGACGACTCAAAGGGAATAGTTGGCGGAGGAATCCCAACTGGCTCCTGGATACTTTTGAGAACGATAATACTGAAAGAGATAACAAGAGCAAGACCGCCTCCACCAGAGGTGGAGCAGAGGAGGCCTGACGCGGACAGAGAGGACGGAGGTTGTTCATTCAGATCCCCTGGATGGGACGAACACGGAGGATTTTAGACTACGGTCCCGGCCGCGATTCATTTTTTGTGTCTTCTTCTTCTTCTTCTTGAGTTGCCAGGCTACTAAGGAGATTCTAGTGAAACGTTTCTTTATCAAGCCACGAGGACTGGAGGCACTCGACTTCCGATTCACAGGACAGGATTAGGTTGTGTCCTGGGCTGGAACAGCTCCCCAAACTGGGAGGTAGCCCAGACATGACCCCGCTGATGTTGAGGTGAGTTTTTTGATTTTACTGTGAGTTTTTAATTTTTTTTTTTTTTTTGAATAAAAATGAATTTTTTTATTTTTTTAAGTTTTTAGTGGTGAGATTTTTTTTGGTATTTTGGAAACTTGAGTGAAGATTTTATTTTTTTTTGTTGAAAAGTTTTTTTTTTTTGAGAGTTTGATTTTTTTTATTTTTTAACGAAGTTTTGAGTGGTAAACATTTTTTTTTTATTTTGTGTAAAAAATTTTTTTTTACGAAAATTAAGATTTTAAGACTTATTTTTAGGAAAATTTTTAATAAAAGAAAAAAATTTTTTTAACTATTTTAATTTTTATAATAGAATTGATTTTTGGAAAAAAAAATTGAAGTGTCTAAATTTTTTTTTTAATTCAATTTTTGTCCTTGCAAAATAAATATTGTACAAATAATATTTTTCTTCCCGACGAATTTCATTTATTCAATTTAAGATGCACTTAAAATTCTAAGAACGAAAGATAATAAATCTCGGATTGATTCTGTTCTTTTTACAATAAGTTTAGCTCCCGCTCAAAAGTGCCGACGGAAGATTGGCCAAAAGAAGTACAGTCTGATTGTCATCAGTACTCTAAATAACTATTATTCCATCAATGTCCCGCAAGAACTCTCAGAATAATAATAACAAAATTAATTATTTAATTAATTTATTTAAATAAATGTATTTTGTGTGTTTGCAGATTGGTCGCAACCGCGGTTCTGCTTTCTGTCATCGCAGGGGTACGTACAAATTTTAAACTTATAACCTCTTTTTTCTATTTATTATTTTATTATTATTATTATAGATATACAGTTCAAAAGAAAAGTAAACATTTATTTTATTTTTACTTCCCGATTATTTTCGTACGCTCGTAATTCCTAGCGCTTTCACTGGTATCGTTTACTCCCCCGCGGAAATAAACAGTCTAATTTTCTTGTTACCAGCTAATTTCCGTGTGTTAGAATCCGAATTTAAACCGCTAATTAAAAAAAATTTTTTTTAATTAAAATTATTTATTTTTTGCCAAAAATTAAAAAATTTGGCTGCTTATACGTAATTTTATATGTGTATTTTACAAAATTATAGTGACGTATATTTGAATTAATCATTTTTTATTTTTTATCAATATAAAGATATTGATTTATTTAAACGATTTAATTTTTTAACCAGAAATTATTTCGCTTAATTATTATAAAAAGATTTAATTATTTTAAAAAGACAAGTTTAAACGATTTTAATTCAAATTTTATTAATAATAATTAATGTTAAAAAAAAATAATGATAATAATATTAAAAATTTCAAATGATTATTATTATTGTTTTTATTTTTTTTTTTTCACTAAAAAATAATACTTTTCTTAAATAAAAAAAAAAATGAAAGATATTTATTAAATTTGTTGGGCCTAAACGATGATAAAAGGACTCACATAATTAGTGTTTTAGCAACTCATGCCGATCAAAACTGTCATGCGGTTTAGTTTACAGCCCGAGACAATATAACAAGTGACATTGCTGACACTTAACTTGTATGTCTGGTTAAATCATGTAGGATGTGCGTAGGCTCGCGATTCCATAAATATCCGTTAAAATTTTTATTTTTTCATTAATTTTCTATTTGATCTTTCGAATCAGGCCTCTGTTCTCCTTAAATTTTTTATACTTTATTTCACTTTCTACGGAAGGAAAGAAAAACTTATCAATTATTTTATCAACAAATATCTCATGCGTGGGATCTTGTTATAAATTTTTATATAAATTCACAATTTGGACCAGACTTTTATAAAAACAAACGCACTAAGTGAGTCATTATTAAAAATAGAAAATTTCAATCAAAAAATTAATTGTATTATAATTTTTTATTGCCGAAGGCGTTCTGACAATTTATTAATAAGTGAATTACTCAATTGTATATATATATTTATACATATGTGCGTGGACATTGAGATGTTAAACTGTCGGTGTTCAAAGATAAAAAAAAAGGACGGTATACATGAACCGTCAAAAGATACGGTATCAAATTTCCGAGAATTGGGTTAAATATAGAAAAAAAATTTTTTTTTAATTCTACACTAGAAATTCATAAGATTGGATTGATTTGATAAATATTAATATTAATATTAATGCATAGTTTATCTAGCAATTTAAGTAAGCATACGTAAGAATGAAGATGCTAGATAATAAAACTCACACTTGTACTGCTCTAGATTTAGTTAATCATCTCATTTACCCCTTACGTCACTTTGAAGCTATTGCATTACGCAAGGTCTCGACCTTACACTCGGTCATATCGAGTAATCGCCGCTGGTTTATTATTTTTTTTTCATTATATTTCTTTATGAGGGAACGACCAAGATTTATTTTAAAACGAATTCACATGGGAAAAAAAATTCTTGACTAAATAATAAAAAAATTTTTTGGGCTCAGTGATTGATTAAAATTAAATATTTAAGTTTACTTACTTTTTGTCAAATAATACAGAACCTAGATAATTCATTTTATTAATTAAAATAATAAAAGAAAAAATTACGAAGAAAATATTAATAAAAAAAAAAGTTTATGTTAGATTAAGTAAAAATTTTTTAAAAAAGATTTTTTTTTCGGGACCAGAAAATTTTTTTTTAAATTATTTAATATGTTATTTAATTATTTTTAATTTTTAAAATAATTTCAGGAGCAATATAACGAGACATGGGCAAATCGAGGAAGATTTGGTTACAGGCCACAATATACGCGAGGTGATATTTCACCTGAATCTGATAGGAATAATTCGCAGGATTCTAGAGTTCCGCCTTACTGGAGTCAAAGCGGAGGTTTTTATTTTAATAAATTTTTTAATAAATTACAATTATTTTCAAAAATGACTTAAAATTTTTTTACTAAATTAATTTAATATAAAATTAATAATTTTTAATTTATTATTTATTATCAATTGTAGAAAATTATGGAGACAGAACAGATGATGAATTAAGGCGCGCAGATCCTTACGATCGGTATGACGAACGAAGGGATGGCCGAAGAGACGGTCAGTATGACGACGGGAGAGACTCTCGGTTCGACGATCGTAAAGACGATCGCAGAGACAACCGAAGAAACCAAGATCCTAACTACGGTACCGACAGAGCTGATGAAAACACTAACTCCAGAGGTTACCCGTCGAGCTACTCAGAGGTACCGATTCCCGGAGCTGGACCACCCAAGAACTGCACAGGCGGTGGATGCTGTACGCCTAAATGTTTTGCTGAAAAAGGATCAAGGGTACTTTTTTTTTTTATTAGACGAATAAATTTTCATTTTATTTTAATTAATTAATGTTTTAAATTAATTGCAAATTTATATCAAATTAACTTTTAAATTAAATTTTTTTATTCAAAATAAATTTACTCAAAAAATTTACACTGGGGGTCATTTTGACCCTGAAATTTTTTTTATTCTAAAATATTTCTCGAAAATAGGTTCGTTTTTAATTAATTTCGTCAACATTAAAAATTATTTAATTCAGAATAACAATAGTTGTATTCAAGGAAAAAAGAAAACTCGAAAAATTACAGTTACAGATTTTATAAGAATTACATTGTAGAATGTAATATTTAAATTGAAAGCTCTGAAAATTAACATTCAAAGTTTGAATTTAAAAAAATGTTATTTTGAACTGTAATTTTTTTAATTTTGAATACGACGGGACACTTATTACTATATATAATGTAATTTTTCGAGTTTTCTTTTTTCCGCGTTTAAAAAAGCAATGTTTATTTACCAAAAATGTAATAACCTGAATTCCGAGAAAATGTATAGTTTCTGAGATATAATTCTTCGAAAGTCAAGTAGGGTCAATTTGACCCCGTGTGTACTCTAAAGTTCTGTTTAAAGGAGTGTACTCCGAGGGTTAATTATAAAAATTAAAAATTTTCAATATTTATTAAAAAATTTTTTCAAAAATTCTGATCTTTTTGTTTGTTTTATTGAAATAAATAAAAAATTTCTACATTTAGGGACCGCCAGGTATTTTGGGACCCCAAGGACCAAAAGGACAACGCGGATTCCCAGGAACTGAAGGTTTGCTAGGACCCAAAGGAGACAAAGGCGACCCAGGACCTCAAGGCCCGCGCGGTCCCAAAGGAGACAGAGTAATTTTCCTTTAAATTTCCCCCTGTCCCTTCTTTCAATAATTAGAGCCCTAATTCAATTATTTCTTACAGGGAAAAATGGGTATGCCCGGATTCCCCGGAATCGACGGAATTCCAGGAGTCCAAGGTCCGCCAGGATCCCCTGGTATGCCTGGAAAAGACGGATGTAATGGCACAGACGTAAGTTAAGAGATCTTAAACCACCAAACTTCAGAATTTTAACACTGAAAAATTTCAGGGAGCTCCAGGACGTCACGGAGTGCCCGGAGAACCTGGTCCCAGAGGTATCAGAGGTTTTCCAGGATCAAAAGGAGACAAAGGTCAGCCTGCTTTTGCAGGAAACTTCCCGAAAGGAGACAAAGGAGAGCCTGGACTTGACGGCGTGAGAGGACCGCCTGGATCGCCAGGACCTCAAGGTGAACGAGGTCCTTTTGGTCCCAAAGGAGAGCGTGGTCCTTATGTAGGTATATTTGAGTTTTTTATGATCAGCATCGCTGGTGCAGTTTTTTGACGTTGATTTTTTTTTGCTGCAGGGACCGCCGGGTCCGCAAGGTTTGAAGGGAGAAAAAGGAAACATGGGACTTGGCTTTGAGGGGCTGAAGGGAGACAAAGGTCAAAAGGGAGATGTCGGGCCTCCAGGAGTCGCCCAGCCTCAGCTTCCTTTCTCTAAAACTGATCAAGTTGTAGGACCTAGTGGAGATCCTGGGCCTAAAGGAGATAAAGTAATTTTTATGGAAAATTTGATTCAAGAGAAAAAATTTTGAACTGAAAAATTTTTCTCTCGGTAGTTTAAGAGATAATTAAGAGAGTAATTATGATTGAATTTTTAGGGAGATGTAGGACTCGATGGCCCTAAAGGAGAGCCAGGATTTATGGGAGACGCTGGTTTCCCTGGAGCTCCAGGTGGCAAAGGAGAAAAAGGTCTTCCTGGTGCTCCTGGAATTCGAGTGAGTTTGTTGATTTAAAATGATAATTTGGTTTTTCGGTCGGTTGATTTAATAACTGGTTGTCATTTTTTCAGGGAAGAGATGGTTTCTCAGGACCTCCTGGTCCACCAGGTCGCAAAGGAGACCGAGGTATCGACGGATTGGACGGACTTCCTGGTCGCGCTGGTCAGAAAGGAGACCCTGGAAAAGACGGACCCGAAGGAATGACTGGTCTGAGAGGTCCTCCCGGACCACCAGGTGTAAGTTACTTCTTATGACGATACTAGCTGTTACTCGCCCGCTCCGCTGGGCATTTTATAGAATTGCATTTTTAGATCTAAACTTGAAATTAAATTAGAGTAATCGGCTGCCCAATTTCAAAACACAGTAACTAACATTTAGAAATTTTTAAAAATTTTTCTTATTAAAAAAAAGTTTGCCTGCCAAATTGATGAAAAATTTGATTTATGAGTAGAAAATACTTGAATATTAATATTTTTAAGAAAAAATACTTAAAATTAAGGTCTAAAAGTTATAAAAAATCAGCAATATTAAAAAAAAATTAGGTATAAAAATTTTACAGTTACTGTGTTTTAAAATTGGGCAGCCGACGCTGGGCGCTTAATAGAATTGCATTTTTAGATCTAAACTTGAAATTAAATTAGAGTAATCGGCTGCCCAATTTCAAAACACAGTAACTAACATTTAGAAATTTTTAAAAATTTTTCTTATTAAAAAAAGTTTGCCTGCCAAATTGATGAAAAATTTGATTTATGAGTAGAAAATACTTGAATATTAATATTTTTAAGAAAAAATACTTAAAATTAAGGTCTAAAAGTTATAAAAAATCAGCAATATTAAAAAAAAATTAGGTATAAAAATTTTACAGTTACTGTGTTTTAAAATTGGGCAGCCGTATTGTTTTGACTTGCACAAATTCCCATTTCTATCGAATTGGCATGCACCTTTTATCCATGTAATTATTCTAGCTAATATTCATTGTAATTTTCAATGTGCAATCATTATAACATTCCCGTGTCTTTCTTACAAAAATGAATAATAATTGATATGAAAAAAAATTTTTTAATTAGCATTGAAAGTTTCAGTTGAAGAAATTGCAGGTTTCATAAGTTAAGAAATCTGCCTAGTATGTAAACATAGCCAATAGAATTAAAAAATTTATTTTAAACAAATGACAATCGAGTAGAATAAATTTAGTTACAATAAAAATTTATTATTTCTAAGTAAAAAAAATATAGGTTCCGGACCAGTAATCACCACCATATCATATACTAAAACCTTCTCCAAAACATGCTGCATCTTGTAGTATAAGTATTATTTCCGATCGGTCCATTTATTAGTATAGATGGATAATAAATACTAATTAAAAGTAATTAGGTAACAATTGTTTTAAGTTGATGTTATAAAATTTTTATAGGGCGGTAAAGGACAACCTGGACCTCCAGGAGAAAAAGGACCCAGAGGATTCCCAGGACCAATTGGTCCAAGAGGATCTGATGGTTTTCCTGGTGATCCTGGTCCCAGAGGACCAATTGGATTCCCCGGAGGACCTGGCCAGCCTGGAACTCCAGGACCAGAAGGTTTGCCGGGAGAAAAAGGAGGCAAGGGTGAGCCTGGATTGACTGGATTCCCCGGAGAAGTTGGACCGAGAGGTTTCGATGGTCCTCCAGGACCTGCTGGGCCACGAGGACCCCAAGGAGACAAAGGATTTTCTATTATTGTTAGTTTGATTTGATTATTTTAAAACTTTAATTTAAACATTAAATTTTATGGACAATTATATTTATTGAAAAAATAGGGACCGAAAGGAATCGATGGAACGCCAGGAATTGACGGAGAAAAAGGCCAAAAGGGAGAGCGAGGATACGCTGGAGTTCGTGGACGTCCTGGAGATTCTTTGGATGGAATTCCTGGGTCGCCTGGAGCTCCTGGAATGCCAGGAGAGCCTGGAGCTTCTGGAAGAGACGGAGTGCCTGGAATTGCCGGTGAGCGCGGAGAAAAAGGAGACATTGGTGGAAGATGTCAGGACTGTTTGCCAGGATTGAGAGGAGAAAAGGGAGACAGAGGAAACGACGGAGCGCCAGGACAGCCTGGAGCCAGAGGTCCGCCTGGAGAGAGAGGTTTCCCTGGAGAAGCTGGATTTGATGGGTTGCCTGGACCGATTGGGCCGCCAGGACCCTCCGGTAAAGACGGAATTCCCGGAAGTCCTGGTCCTCAGGGAGAACCTGGAACCCCTGCGATTGTTACTGAGAATATGTTGAAGCTGGAGAAGGGTGACAAGGGGTTAAGGGGCGAACCTGGAAGACCTGGGCCGCCTGGACCAATAGGAATGACTGGAGAAAAAGGCAGACAAGGATTCGAAGGGTTCCCTGGACTCAAAGGTCGGTAATCATTCACTACTTTGAATTAATGTTTCTGATTGATAATAATTGTCAAATTTTAGGTGAGGCTGGTGACCGTGGATTCCCTGGACAAGATGGAGCCGCTGGAAGACCTGGAATTCCCGGCCAGAAAGGTGAGAAAGGAATCAGCGTTAAGGGAGAACCCGGAGAACCAGGAAGACCTGGAGCGATGGGATACAAGGGAGATCCTGGTCTCTATGGACCCAAAGGAGAGCCTGGCGAGTGTGCTCCGATAAACCTCGAGGAAGGAGTTAAGGGTGACAGAGGTCCTCCTGGTGAAAAAGGAGAGCTTGGACCGCCTGGACGAGATGGACTGCCTGGAGACAAAGGTTTGCAAGGGTTCTCAGGACCTCCTGGTCCACCAGGTCCGATCGGTTCACCTGGACCCACTGGTCCCAGAGGTTTGCCCGGTCCCAGAGGCGACAAAGGAGACACTGGTCCCATGGGATTCCCCGGAGAAGCTGGTCGAGACGGTCCCAGAGGTTTCCCTGGTTTACCTGCTGCCAAAGGAGACAAAGGAGAGATGGGTATTTCGGTAAAGGGAAGCCAAGGTTTGACTGGACCCCCTGGAGAAAAAGGAGAGCGAGGATTCCCTGGTACGTCTTTTTGCATCTTGATTAATCTTTTATTTAAATTTATTCCATTGATTTAACTAACGAAAAATTTTAAAATAAATCAGGTGCTCCTGGAAAAGAAGGACCTAGAGGTTATCCAGGTCTAGCTGGATTCACTGGAGAGAAAGGAGACGTTGGAGTGCCTGGAATAAACGGATTGCCTGGAGGCCCTGGTGAGAAAGGAGACACTGGACCAGTCGGTCCTCCAGGGCCACCTGGAATCCCTGGAGCACCTGGAACAGACGGTGGTAAGGGAGAACCAGGTTTGCCTGGAGAGCCCGGTAGAATTGGGCTTCCTGGATTCCCAGGAGAAAAGGGAGATAGAGGAGAGCTGGGAATAGAAGGTCCCAAAGGTTATCCCGGAAGGAGAGGGTTGCCTGGAGTGGCTGGACAGCCTGGATTGGAAGGAGCTCCGGGTCTTAAAGGAGAACGCGGAGAGAAAGGAAATTCTGGATTCCCAGGTTTGCCAGGGTTGGAAGGCAAACCTGGACGAGTTGGTGCTCCTGGACCTAAAGGTGATCACGGATTTGATGGAGCTCCTGGATTGCCAGGTCCTGTGGGGCTGGAAGGTATCAAAGGAGAGAGGGGATTCCCTGGTAATCCAGGGAGAAAAGGAGAACCTGGACAGACTTCGGCTAAGGGTCAGAAAGGAGAGCCTGGAATGCCTGGCGTTCGTGGAGCTCCGGGACCTCCTGGTAGGGATGGTGTTGATGGAGAGAAAGGAGAAGCTGGAAGACCTGGACTCGCTAGAGATGGATTGCCTGGACTCAAGGGAGAGCCTGGAATTCCTGGACTTGATGGGTTGCCTGGACCTCAAGGTCAGAAAGGAGACACTGGAGTCACTGGATTCCCAGGACAAAAGGGAGATGCTGGATATCCTGGACCTGCTGGAGAGCCAGGTATTTTTTTTTATTTTACATATAATTGATGATTTTATCTTGCAGCAAATAAATTAAATTGAAAATGAATAATAATATACTAATGAAAATTAAAATTCCAGGCAGACCTGGCCTTGACGGATTTCCCGGACCAAACGGCGACATGGGACCTCCAGGGTCTCCTGGATTCCCTGGTCTTGATGGTGACATGGGCATGCCTGGTAGACCTGGTTTGGATGGCCCCAAAGGAGAAAGAGGACCACAAGGTATCGACGGACTACCGGGAGTTCTTGGACCATCAGGTCCCAAGGGAGATCGCGGTCCAGCCGGCTTGACTGTTAGCATCAAAGGAGAGAAGGGAGAGCCTGGAAATCCTGGACTTGATGGTCTTGACGGTGAAAAGGGTGATCGAGGATTCAATGGCGCCCCTGGTTTTGACGGTGAGAAGGGAGACAGAGGCCCACCCGGTGTTTTAGGAAATCCTGGACCACCTGGAGCACCTGGGCCTAAAGGTAATACTCTAAAGAGAATATTCTTTCTATCAAATTTCATACACAGAAAAAAAGGTTCACTTAAGCCAAGCAAATATTTTTCTTCCTAATTATTTTCTTGAGTGGAAAAAAAATTTTTTTTTTTGACACAAGAAATTTCACTTATTCCAATTAGATTAATTCTTTTGCTTTAAGAAATACGTATCTTGACCTAAAAAAATTTATTTAAATCAAGAAAATCTTCTTGTTTTGAGAAAATTCAGTCTTTTGCTCTAAAAAATTTAGTTCTTGAAAGAAGTGAATTTTCTTGTCTTGAAAAAATTTCTCTCTTGCTCCAAAAAATTAAATATCTCAATAGAAGTAAATTTTCCTAAAAATCTTGATCAAATATAAAAATTTATTGTATCCAGTATTTATGATAATTTGAATTAAGAAAAAATTACTTCCACCAAGAATAGAATTTCAAGAAAAATTTTTACTTCGGCCAACACAACTTCGGCTTTCCTTCAGGCACCCGAAAATTATCTTGAGCCAAGAATTTTGTTTTCCAGTCAAGAAATTTTTCTTTCTGCACGGAAAGAACAAGACACTGGAATAATCCCAAATTATACTGAGTGAAAAAAAAATTTCAGATAGTAGCTACTATAATCCAGATTACAATAAGTATAATCCAGTCATTACGCAATATAATTTGGATTTTCAGCTACTATCTGAAATTTTTTTTCACCACAGATATCACTGAGTATATTCTAGAATGATATCCAGTGTCATCTTGTTCTTTCCATGTGTTTATTGATTAAAAAAATTATGATCCTAAAATGTGAAAAATAAATGAATTTTTAGGTGACACGGGACTGGTTGGAGCTCCTGGATTCCCTGGCGCGACAGTCAAGGGAGAAAAGGGTCTGCCTGGAATGTTGGGCAAACACGGTAGGGATGGACTTCCCGGAACTCCTGGAGAAAAAGGAGAGCCTGGATTCCCAGGTCTTCCCGGACACAAAGGAGATGCTGGAGCTTGGGGACCGGTTGGTCATCAGGGAGAGAAAGGAGACACTGGTTTGATAGGTCCGGAAGGTCCTCCTGGTCGACCTGGAGAGCCAGGTCTTGAAGGAATGCCTGGAGTTCCTGGAGAAAGAGGACCTAAGGGAGATCAGGGTCCACCTGGACTGTTTGGCGCGCCAGGACAAAAAGGAGAAAGAGGTCTCTCAGGTCCTCCTGGGCTTGATGGCATTCCTGGAGAGAAAGGAGATCGCGGTTTTGATGGAATTCCTGGAGAACCAGGTAATCCCGGCGAAAAAGGAGATCGCGGGTACCCTGGAGTTGTTGGATTCATGGGAGAAGTTGGACGCATCGGAGAGAAGGGTGACAAAGGAGACGACTGTCTTGAACCCCCTATGGGACCAAAAGGCGACCGAGGCTTCCCAGGTAAATTTTTTTTTAAATACCTTTAAAAAATGGCAGAAATTTGTAAATTAATTTTTTTTTTTGTAATCTTTAGGCTCACCTGGAATTCCTGGAGCTCCGGGAGAAAAAGGAGTTGCTGGACCACCAGGATTCCCAGGAATTCCGGGAGCCAAGGGGGCTCAAGGATTCATGGGAGCTCCTGGATCGCCAGGGCGTCCTGGATTGGAAGGACCAATAGGACCCCCAGGTCTGCCTGGTTTGACCGGACCCGCAGGTCTTCCAGGACCCAAAGGAGAGCCTGGTGCTCAGTGTGAGCAAGCCGCTGATTATCTAACTGGAATTTTACTAGTCCGTCACAGCCAAAGTCAAACTGTTCCTGTTTGCGAACCTGGTCATATTAAACTTTGGGAAGGTTACAGTCTTCTTTATACAGACGGAGATGAACGAGCTCATTCTCAAGATCTAGGTACTGAACTAGTTATTTTTTAGATTTAATCGCGGTTTTAATATCAAAATGGAGGATAAAAATTTTTTTTCTTGGAAAATAATTTTTAGAGTGGACAACTAAAACTGAAAAAAAGTCTTAGTTTTATTTTCTAAATTTTCGCTTTAGAAATTGAAAATTTATCAATTCGCGTCATGAAAATTGAGAATTTCAAAAAAAATTATTGACCTTTAAAAATGAAGTTTTTATCAAAAATTCAAACGAGAAGTTTGAAAAAAATTCTTTTTAAAAGCTTAAGTAGGGATAGACAGAATTTTCAAAAAATCGTTTGTTTTTTTTTACATTTTCTTCAAGTATAATATCTTAAAAACATTTTCTGAAATTTGAAGTGAATCCGACAAATACTTTTCGAGTTATTCGACAAATAACAAAGAGCACTCAGGCACCACTCCAGAACGCCAGAGAGCAGGTAGTTCTCGAGAGTGTAAAACTTTAAATGCGTTTTTCTCAAAATTATGTTTTCTAAACTGGTAATCACTGTAACTCGAAAACCGCTTATTAGATTTCAATGCAATCTATACAGCTTCTGAAAAACATAAAAATCTAGTGCCTGATCGAAGGATTATTTTTTTTTTTTCAAAAATTTCGATTTTTTATAAACAATTAACTGTTGGTTTTTTTTTGCGAGAATCTAGAAAAAAATTTTCTGAGGCCGCTGTTTTGTTAATTTAAAAAAAAAAAAGTTTCTATCAGGCACAAGATTATCTATTAAAAAAACTAATTTTTTTCGTCCGATTGATTTTCGATGAATCTCCAAGGATTTATGATGATCACTGCAAGGACTTTTGTTTAGGTCAACACAAATAGCCATAACTTTTGAAATTATCAATTTTTTTCTCAAATTTTTGTGAAGTCAAGTCAAAACATTGTGTAATGATGCCATATTATTACATTTATAAAGTAAAATGATTTACTGGCAAAAAAAATTATTGAAAATTCTCATTTTTTCATGTCTCTGACTACCCCTAACCCCTTAAAGAGCACAAAATTTTTGACTTGTCAACAAACCAATGACATTATTTGTTGCGTCCTTGAATCTAATTGCGTATTAAAAATACGTGTCACAATAATATTATATTAAACTCTCTTTACTATAATATTACTCAAAGTTGTAGAGAAACTTAAACGACAGACAAATAAAAATAAGTATAAATTTTACAGTCAATAAAAGTAGTCCTATAAATATTAATCGAGTTCTCGAAAAACAGGTTATGCCGGGTCGTGCGTACGGAAATTCTCCACGATGCCTTTCCTCTTCTGCGACGTTAACAACGTATGTCACTACGCCAGCCGTAACGACCGCTCCTATTGGCTGTCTACCAACAGTCCGATTCCTATGATGCCCGTCGAGGAATCCTCCATCGAGGAATATATTTCCAGGTATGTCATGCGCTAATTGATGTCCAATAAAATTCATAATCATCATTTTTAAACTTCTACAATTACTAATATTTAACTCCAATCTAGGTGCGTGGTCTGCGAAGTTCCAGCCAATGTTCTAGCAATTCACAGTCAGTCGCTGAGCATTCCAGAGTGTCCTTCCGGATGGTCTGGATTGTGGATCGGTTACAGTTTCGTCATGGTAAAAAATTTATCTTGACATTTTTTTTTACCAAAGTTTGAATGGTTGTTTTATTATTTTTTATTTTTTCAAAATTAGCACACGGGAGCCGGATCGCAAGGTGGCGGACAATCTCTGTCAAGCCCCGGATCGTGTCTGGAAGATTTCCGAGCGACTCCCTTCATCGAGTGCAACGGGGCGAAAGGACACTGCCATTACTACGCAAACGAATTCAGTTTTTGGATGGCGACTATCGAAGACCGACAACAGTTCCAGAAACCAGAGAAACAAACACTCAAAGCCGGTAATCTTAGGACCCGAATCAGTCGCTGTCAAGTTTGTATAAAGAACACGTAATTTTTAGACTATTTGATAAACGGATTTATATTAAATATTAAATAATAATTATTAATGTTATTGAATATGATGACTAGTAGCAGATAGAATTTTTGACGGCGCAAGAAGGACTGGATTCTTTTTTTTTTTTTAATATAAGAAAGATAAAATCCAATAAAGTAGTAAGAAATAAAAATGATTTTTTGTAATAAATGTGAAAAAAGGTTATCAAGTTAATCGGCTTTTCAATACCCAGTTCCATTGTGCTCTTTCAGTCCTTCTTGAATGAATTATAGCCCGTCAATTCATTTCACCCCTTTTTCCTTATATTATATTTTTTACTTCATTTTAGCTCTAGTTTTTGTTTGTCTATTCTATTATTTTAACTGTTCTTATTAAATTTTCCATCTACATTGTCATGAATTATAAAACCTAAGTGCCTAGTATATTACTTAGCATGTAAATTAATATATATTTAAATCAATTTATTTGTAACGAGTAAGTTTTATGTCAGAAAAAAATTAAATAAAATAATAAAACGTTTTATAAAGTTATTATTAACTTAAACTACCAACACTGCCCGTAAATATGTCGGCTCACTTTATTTTATTATATATATTGTATATTAATATAAATAAATTGTTATAGCTTGATAATTATGCGTGAAGCCAAATATTTAAAATTATAAGTATTTTGCTACATAATCAATAAAATAAAATTGTAAACAAATATATTGTCTTTTTCTTTCAATATCTTCTCCCTCGATTAAGATTTCTGTACTTTATTTTTATCGCAATTCCAAGTTTTTATTCCATTAAACTTTTATTTAGTTTTAAGAAATTTTATACTTAACAAGTTTATATTTTTTTCATTAAAACTTTTGATAGTTTTGTTGTAGTATTACTTCTTAAACTGTCACACTATTACGGATTTAATTTTAACTATAATTAATTTAATTAGTTTTAATTAATTAAGCAAATTTACAACTCTGTGCAAAGAATATTTTTCCAAAATTTTGAATCGATTGATTACATCTTAACTTTTTGACCTGGCGAAGCGCGAAAGTCACTAAAGAACCAACACGAGGAACCAGGGATCGAATCCTCGCGCCGTCAAATTTTTTTTTTTCAACAAAATAATTTTTTTTTTTTTTTTAATGAATATTTAATTAGTAAAAATATATGCTTAAAAATAAATATTGATATAGAGTATGTCATAAGAGCTCTAAAAATTACCATCTAAATGTCCGAAGATTACGACTAGAAAGTGGAATTTAAAATATTTTCAATAAACTACTAGTTATAAAAAAATAAAATACACAAGTAAATAAATATTCATGTGCATAATATCAACTTACAATTTACTTAGTGATGATCCAGAAGTCAAGAGGAGCGCAAACACATCGGATAGATCTGGATCTGAAATAAGTACAAATCAAATAACAATTTGCGTGTAAAATGAAATTAAATTTGTTTAGATGTCATCGATTCAATCATCCAGCAAAGTATAAGCAAATACGGAAAGCGTGAGAGCTAAAATCCGTAAATTGTCTCCGTGCAACGAGCAAACATTTTTCATTATTTTAAACTTTTAATTGTGAATTATAAACAAGCATAAACCCTCCTTCTCACAAACAAACTTCTCTCTCGGCTCGCTCGTTTGCGTCAAAACGGGTCTCTATAAATCGCCTCTATTTTATTATTTATTTTTATTAAACATTCCGTCAGCTAACAATTATTAAAACGGAATGAAATATCTATTATTTCCATCAGAACTCTCCTTTCCGGTGAACTATTTTTTATAAATCTCAATCCGCTGAAAAAATTATTGTATCATTTTTAATAATAATAAAAATGTATTGGTTTTTTTTTTCCTTTTTCAACTTCACGATCTAGATCATTGAATTCGCAGTGTTCGTTAAACTCGGGGCAAAACTATTAAAATTGATATAAATTATTATTTTAAATAAAAATATGCGACGTAAAAAATTTTCCAACATAAATCTCAGGTAAATTAATTAATAATTAATAATTATGGTAATTTTTAATGATTAATCCACTTGTTTACTCAAAACGTAGGTGATAATATTTACTTATTACTTGTTTATTTACTTATTTATTTATTTATCATCAAATTGTTTACTTAGATAAGTAAAAAGTAGTATGACAAAATTAGCATAGATCTCTCTGGAAATTCTGGTAAGACTGTTCTCGATGAAGGTTTTACTTGTGCTCCCACCATAAGCGTTAATATGTCAAGCCCCCTTGATTATTAAATCTGGTAAAACGACATTCCATAAAACATATATTTTCAAAATCGTTAATATGCTAATGAAAAATTTAATAAATAAAAAAAACAGGTTTTTGTTTAATGGAAAAATTGATTCAATTTACAGATTCACTAGGAAAAATTTCTTAATCTTAAATTTTCCTTGAACTTAAACTTGGAAATTTTACAAAAATTTTTTTTTTATTTTTTTTGAAGTTGGAAAATTTATAAAAAAATTTTTTTGGTTTAAAAAATTTTTACTTTACCTAATTTAAATCAAATATTTCATTGCTAAATAAAACGTTTTCAAACGTTTGCTTAATTTTAATTAATAATGATTTTTTGATAAAATAAATATATTAAAAATTATTAATAATAATGTTTCATAAATTTTTATACATTATTATTATTATTATTATTATTTTAAATCAAAATTTAAATGGCTAAAAAAATAAAATAATAATGAATAAATAAATAAATTGTGATAGAAAATAAGAAAAAAAAAATAACACGCGTGTAAATCGTGTTTAATTAAAAATAGTTGTTTATATAAAACTAAAAATAAAAAATAATAAAATACGTAAGTCCTGTTTTGATAATGCTATTTTATTTAAATAAATTAATCGAAAAGAAGGTGTGGAACTGACCGACCAATAAGATTTCTCGATTAATTCGTCCTCTAACAAGTTCCCGAGCATTTCAAGTGTCCGCTCATCCTGGAGAAGTTTAGTAATCGAAAAACTTGCCAACTGGTAGTTCTTTTTTTCAATAACTAATTAAAATCCTACTTAATTTTTATTTTATTTTCTTTACATTATTTTTCTTTTTACTTTCATTTTTCTGGCAATAAATCAGAGCGTAAGTGAATAAATGAATAAATATTGAGGACCGAATATTGACGGAAGAGGTGGAGAGAACGCGGGTAATTGCTGAATTTTTTGGGATATTTCGGGGCGATATTTATGCAAGGTTGATTGCGCGATCTAAAGCTCCAATTTGTCGAGGACAATGTTGAATAGTTTGGGCACACCTCGTGACCGATGGGATGTCTGTGCTTCGGACATCGCCAGGCGTACTCACAATCCTATCAGGGCTATTGTCGAGAATATTGTCGTGGAGCCAAATCCAAATAAAAAGCTGATAGCACTTTCTATCGGTGAGTTTTGCCATACTTTATGAACTAGAGCCCGAATAAATTCTGTTCGAGTAAATTCAATCCGAGATCCTCCATTCGAGATTGAGATCCTCTATTATCGTGCCCCGAGATTTATCATTTTTTATGAGAGACGTGAGGTGAATAGAGGCTGTTCGAGTTTTATCTTTTTTTTATGTATTTATGGTGATTAATTGTTGTTGTCAGGTGACCCAACTACTTTCGGGAATTTGAAGCCCCCGAGAGAAGTTATCGAGGCGTTGCAGCAAAGTGTCGCTTCCTTTGAGTTTAATGGATACGCACCCAGCACAGGTATGTCAAGTGTCATTTAATTGTTTTTTATTATCTGATCGAAGGATTTTAGGGTCAAAAATTACCAGAAAATTACTTTAAATTTATAATTTTGGGTGAAATATTAAAGATATCAAAAAATTATATAAAACTTTTTTTGTAGGAAATTAAATTCTCTATTAATTTTTCTTTATCTCTTTTTTTTTTATCTAAAATTTGGATTTTTAAATTAAGAAATTAAGTCATAGAATTTATCCATGACTTTTTAAAATTAGAATTTTTAATTCTGAGTTAAATATTGAAAATACAAAAAAAAATCATAAGAGACCTTTTTTGTTAAAAATTTTATTTTTCACAAAAAAAGTTCTTATCAATTGTACTGTATCTCTTGTTATTTAGCTAAAAATTGAGTTTTAATTTAAAATTTAGAAGACTGACGTTAACTGAAAGTTTTTTTTTCGAAATAAATTAATTAAATATAATTAAATTCCGCAGGCCATCAAATAGCGCGAGAAGCTGTCGCGGAATATTGTTCAACAGAGAATCTCAAAGTGGAAGCTAAAGTAATTTATTTAAATAAAATCACAACTAAAAAAAATAATTTATACAAAAGTACTAAAAAAAATTTTGTTTTATAGGATGTGATATTGTGTAGTGGGTGTTCATGTGCGTTAGACTTATGTATAACAGTACTTGCAAAAGAAGGGCAGAATATTCTGATACCGAGACCAGGATTCTCTCTATACCGGACACTTGCCGTTGGACTGGGTGTGGGAGTCAGAGCTTACAATCTTTTGGTAGGTAGATTTCAAATTTCAATTTGTAAACTCTATTTGCGCTCTCGCTAGATAGTATGTGTAGAACACGAATTTATGAGGATTACGATTCAAGAGCTATTGAAAAATAAAATTGAATTTTTCAGCCGGATCTCGGGTGGGAGATAGACCTCGATCATCTCGCATCGCTAGTTGACGAGAGGACTGCTGCAATCATTGTAAATAATCCTTCAAATCCTTGCGGGTCTGTCTACAGTCGTCATCACCTGTTGGATATTATTGACGTCGCTGCTAAGTATCATGTTCCAATTATTGCCGATGAAATTTACGAGCACATGGTAATTACTGATTACATATTTAATTTATAAGATTTAAAGGAATGAAATAAAAAATTTTCTTCAAATCATTACACAGAAAAAAAAGTTCACTTCACGGAAAGAACAAGATGACACTGGATATCATCCCAGATTATAATGAGGGAAAAAAAAAATTCAGATAGTACCTCATATAATCCAGATTACAAAGAGTATAATCTGAATTTTTCTAGCTACTATCTGAAATTTTTTGTCACCACAGATATCACTGAGTATAATCTGGGATGATATCCAGTTTCATCTTGTTCTTTCCGTGTTGAGCCAAGCAAATATTTTTCTTCCCAATTATTTTTTTGAGCGGAAAAAAAATTTTTTTTGACACAAGAAATTTCACTTATTCCAACTAAATTAATTCTCTTGCTTTAAGAAATACGTATCTTCAGCCAAAAAAATTTATTCAAGTCAAGAAAATCTTCTTGTTTTGAGAAAATCCAGCCTCTTGCTTCAAAAAATTTAGTTCTTGATAGAAGTAAATTTTCTTGTCTTCAGAAAATTTCTCTCTTGCTCCAAAAAATTAAACATCTCGATAGAAGTAAATTTTCATTAATATTTTTATTGATTAACATATCGAATGGGAAGATCAAATAATATTGAATCATTTTTTTTCATTCAATATGTATAATCGCACGCTAAAATAATATAAAATGGGTATGAAATATTCAAGAGAAAAATTTTCTCAAGATAAGAAAATTTTTTCTCAGCTGAAGTAGGTGGCGCTGCTTCCCTAAAGTATCTAAAAATCTTGATCAAATATAAAAATTTATTGTATTAAGTATTTATGATAATTTGAATTAAGAAAAAATTACTTCCATCAAAAATAGAATTTCAAGAAAAATTTTTACTTCGGCCATCACAACTTCGGTCTTCCTTCCGGCATCCGAAAATTTTCTTGAGCCAAGAATTTTGTTCTCTACACCGATAGAAAAACAATCTTGATTCAAGAAACTTTTTTTCTTCAAAACTTGAACTCTTGAAACTAGATATAGATTTATTTCTTTCAAGAATTTCAGTCTCTTGGTTCAAGATAGGCGATAACATTGATTCAAGATGTTACCGACTTGTGTTAAGAAAGGCTTTTTTTTTGACTCATTAATCTACTTATTTCCAAGAAATAATTTTATTTTGGTATAATAATTAAAGACTATTTAGTTTTTGAAATATACTTTGATGAATTATTCTAAGTTTTTTAAACGATAATGTTATTTTGATTGAAAAACTTAAATGTATTGATTGAAGATAATATAGCTCTTAAGCCAAGAAAATCTAAATCAAGACAAGAAATTCTTAAAGCAAAATAATCATTTGTCTTCCAAAATAAATTCTTAGATCAAAAAAATATCTCTTGAGTCAACATAAATTTTCTATCAGTGTAGTCAAGAAATTTTTCTTTCTGTGTAGGTCTTCCCTGGACGAACCTTTTACCCAATGGCCTCTCTGTCGACAGAAGTACCAATCCTCTCATGCAGCGGATTAGCCAAAAGGTATTATAGAAAATAATTTATTCGAAAAACAATTACGAATACTTATTCAATTACCGATAATTAAATGCCACTTTTTCCGTAGTTTAATCAATTCGTAGGATTTAATTAAATAATTTATGTGTGTAATAGGTTTCTGGTCCCCGGATGGCGGATGGGATGGGTAATAATTCACGACCGACAAAATATATTCAATAATGAGGTAAATGAAGATTAATGTTAACATCAGAATTAATTTTAATATTAATTTAATTTTAGTAAAAGAAAAAAAAAACAATTTTCATCTGATGAATTGCTCTCGACTTGCTTCCATTAAAAGTTGTCCTATATTTATCGTGCATAAATTAAAATACTTACAAGCTAAAAGCTATTACACGTTTTTAAAATTTTCCAGATACGCAACGGTTTACAAAGTTTGAGCCAAAGAATAATTGGAAGCAGTACAATAATTCAAGGAGCATTACCGGGAATACTTAAAAACACGCCTCAAAGATTTTTCGACGACGTTACCAAGCTGCTATACGTAAGTATTATGTCTATGAAGTACAGAAAAAAATCTGTTATAAAATATAACTTTTTCGGGTGATTTTAACATATGGCGAAATTTGTGTCATTTCGATGCGAAAGTCTGAGCCTATACTGCCTATTATGTGTGTATACTAAAAATACAAGCGAATGGAGGTTGTAAAATCATAAAAAAAAAAAAGAAAAGAAATGGAAGAGGGGTCTAGTCCTTGAAAAAGGAAATACGGTCGGTCTAGAGTCTTGAGTTTGTAAATTTGGAATATGGGTTTAGCATACGGTTGTCTTTTTGCTGGTCACACATGTGCGTCACATGTATTTCTTCCTCTCGTAAGAAATATTAATAGCATCCCTTGGTTTCCTTTTCTTGTTCTGTGGTCCTTATTCATTCTATTATGTGAGTATAGTATGCGGGTCTTTGAGGAAAGATATCAATAGTTAACTCTATTTATGGTACTAATAATTCCAATTATGATGATAATAATAGCTTAATAAAATTTTTAATTCATTATTTTAAATCATTTGAAAAAATTTCAAATTAATAATAATAGATTTTTTAAAAAATTTTATAATTATTGTTATTATTATTATTTATAAAGCTTGATAAACCGATGACGATTGTCAAACAAAGATATAACGTGACGTGATGCAAAATCTGTTCACGTTTAATATGAATGAATGTGACTGGTAAGCACGTTTGTGCCAAATATTAAATATATATTGTATAGTTAGTCAGAATAAGGAATAGTACAGTAGAGATTGAAGTCGTAATCCATTGTCATTTAAATAATATTAATTTGCGTTCACAGAACCACTCGATAACGACGTTCAATCTTATTAAGGAGATTCCTGGACTGAAGCCAATTATGCCTGATGGAGCGATGTACATGATGGTAAAGTACATATATTTGTTTATCTCTCCATAAACATAGGTCTATGTTGTGTTTGTCAATTACAAGTATTGATTGGGCGCAATAATTAATTAGTGGATTTAAATTGAATTTAATTTATAATCGCAGGTGCACATAGACTTAGAGTCCTTCCCGGAATTTAATACTGAGGTTGATTTTGTCGAGCGTCTATTGATGGAAGAGTCTGTTTTCTGCTTGCCTGGAGGTGTAAGTTTAAAAATTTCTCAGTACAAAAAAAATTTTTTTGCTATTAAATTAATTTTTTTCTTCAAATAAATTTCTATTAATAAATTAGTATTTTTTTTTTTTTCCTTAAAAGAAATTCGAGATTTTAAAATAAAAAAAAATAATAAAACTTTTAAATTTATTCCAGTGTTTTGATTTACCTTCCTACATAAGATTGGTAATAACAGTACCAGTAGAAATGCAAGAAGAAGCCTGTAAGAGGATCCACGACTTTTGTTATCGGCACCATTGCAAGACACAAAATCTAATAAGAAATTCTATCGAGGGCGTCGAGATACCTTATTAATAATTATTATTATTATTTCTAACAATAAAAAACTTCCAATAATATTCCACTGTCATAACTTGTAAATTATAAATTGATGTATAAATTTTTATTAAAAAAAAAAAAAAAAAAAAAAAAATGTAAATTACAGCTGAATAAAATATTTAAAATAAAAAGGGCATTTCCTCGTTACTCCACAGCTCTTGTCTTCCATTCCTATTGTATTATTTTAATCAACAATTGTAGCAGAACCAGACAGTCTATTGCATGATGACCCGGTCACTATCTCTACTCCCTTTGGTTGCACTTATATATGTATTGGTGTGTGGAGCATTCGAACTCCAGTTTCAGAGTCTGAGTTTCGAATATTTGAGTGCTGTACAATATACTATATACAATATACAATATATACGTAGATATAATAACAATAACAATCGGTGTAATTCTAACAAAGGGTATAGCTAGCATATATGCAATAACACAAACGACATAATACAAGAGTTGCTTGTTATCGCATACCAATGCACTTTGTACGATCTATGAAGCATATATGTATATTTACACAACTTCACATATATGTCTTGCATTTATCGTAGCAGTTATACATGCAGATCACGGGGATATGAATATACTTTATTAATACGTGTATGCATGCTCGATGCTATGGCTACATATAGTTACATGTAGGGTAACTATTGTTTCTACTTATAACTATTTGTAATGTAATTTTAAATAATACATGCAATTTTTCTTCAGTTATTAAAAAAAAGTGTGTTTTGATTGAAATTATCTTATGAGTTATCTATATTATTAAGAGTATAAGAAAAATTTTGTTTCCAAGATACTCATATGATAAAATTGGTTTTTTTTTAGTGAAATTTAGTGTCATTGCAAAGGTCTTCACTTGAATTTGTGCCTTTTTAAGATTTCATATCATTCTCACCAATAGTCAATTTATGATGATAAGTATTTAGGCTGCATTCGAAAATGCTCTATCTCTAGATACATAATTAAGAAATGGCCTTGTATCTTGTGAACTATTGACATTTTTAAAGATATAAGCTCATCTCGATGTTACATTCATCAAGACCTTTCATTTAAGTACCCACATCAATTTTTCATATATTTATATATGTTATATATTTGTATATATGAAAAATATATCAAAAATGCATGTGGGTACTCAAATGAAAGCGCTTGATGAGTATAGCACCGGGATGAGCTTATATCTTTAAAAATGTCAATTACATATATGTATATATGAAAAATATATCAAAATGCATGTGGGTATTCAAATGAAAGCTTTTGGTGAGTGTAAAATCGGGATGAGCTTATATCTTTAAAAACGTCAATAGTTAAGAAAGTACAATGCAATTTAACAAAAGTCATTATTTAATAAAGCAAAATTTTATTTATTTATAGTTCACAAGTTACAGCAGACACATAGCAACTGCATAGTTTATATTAAAATAAATAGGAACCGCTGATTTTTTTATTTAAAATTTGTTAATAAAATTTATGTGACAAGAAACAAATTTTAATTATTGAAGAAGAAAGTAAATATTAAGTGTTTTATTGGGAAATAAATTGTAATAAAAGTACAATGTAAATGTTAACTTTACGCATTTCGGCTCGTGTTTAGCACCGGAAGTTTAGCAACGCTTGGATGAACTGTAATTTTTTCAACTTCCGGATATTCAATATTATATGGAATTAAATACCGGAAGGTTGTTCATTATTATATTAGAGTTTGAATTATGCTTTCTTTGTGGAAATTCGGAAGTTTTTAATGAATTTTTTAAAAACAGACTTTTTTTTTAATAAGAAAAATAAAATTTATTGCGACAAGACAATGAGATTTTTCTTTATGATTTTTAGTCATAAATAACTTTAAATTTCAACTATAAAAATATGTTGCGGGAATTTCTATGTAAGTATTTAATATATTTACTGCTAGTTTATTTATTAAGTCATAATTATAGAGCTTGATGGTTCATAAAAGAAAACTTTGTTTTTTTTTTTGGGTTGATAAACATGTTCATGGATGTTTTTCGTGAGAATTAGGATCTTATGTTGAAACTTCATGGAGAATTTATATTACGAGAAGTGTAATTTTATAACCGTGGAGAATTGATTCGTCACCCGTCGATGGAAAATCAAATATATTTAATGTAATTTATTATCCTATAAATTTACTTGTTTTTGTTCTTTTTTTCTTTATGTTAATTTTAATAACTATATTAAGTTAATAAAAAAATTTATTAGAAAACATTTTCAATGAAATATTTTTTTAGATATTTGTAAACATTAAAATAAAAGTTAAAAAAAAAAAAAGATATTGATAAAAATTGATATAAAAATAAAGTTATACTCCATGTCTTTGAAAAAGTATTTATTTAAACTAAAAACTGTTAAGTAAAATGTACACGGAGAGAAAAATATGGAAATCATTCCTATAATTTTAATGAAATATTTTCCTATACCATTTTAGGAGCGATTACTTAAATTATGGGAATTATACCCATAATTTTTGGGAAACGTTACTATAATTATGGGAATGGTTCCTATAATTATAGGAACGATACCTATAATTAAAACTGTAATATCGGCATGATTCCCATAATATATTGAAGCTATTCCATTATTGTATAGGAACGTTTCCAATAAATTATGGGTATGGTTCCCATAATGAGTATAGGATTAATGCCTATAATGATAATTTTATTATAGGATCCATTCCCATAATTGTTGGAAAGATTCCTATAAATTTCTCTTCGTGTAGAAGTTCTTACTGTGATTGAAAAACAAAATAATAATGCAGTAACAGGTTCATTTAATTTATTGATAACTATTTTTAATATTACAATTATGTATTAAAGTTTTGTAAAGATGTATCTACAATAATTATCATTCAGCACATTGCATTGAAAGAAGAAATTTGTTCATTAGTGATGAGCTTGAGCTCTGTTTCACAAATCATAAACTGTACTATTAATTCTCTGTACAAATTGATCGATCATATTTATAGAGCTTTGTATGCGCCTTAGTTTAGCGTTTTGGTTCTGGACTTCACTTGTAAGATCGCCAACTCTCGTTAGCAGATTTCTCAATTGTTGCGCTTCGGGAGATTCTTGAGCGGGATCCTGAGTGCTGGCAGTTTGACTACTTTTAATCGATTGCTGGGTTGAGTGTGGCAACTGAGATGGATAGTCTGTGTTTGCTTGATAGGTTACCGCTCCATGAACGT